CTGATACTCTGTTATTTAATAATTTTTCAAGAAAAGGAGTGATATATATATGGCCTGTTTTTACAACATTTGTGGGGCAGTTTTTGTACGAATTCAAATCACTGATACAAAGGATGATTCTTCTTTTTTCTCTTCTTAGGGTCCTTTTTTCCGTTTGATTTTCTCTCTTTGCGTGGTCATGATGAATACTACTGTATATAAGCATATACAAAATTATAGATGATGATACATCTATAATTTTATGTTTTAGTATAGGTTAATAAATAGTTCTCACTTTCATGGTAAGTAATAAAACCCTTAAGGGCAAGGGTGGAGGGAGCATGTGCTTAGGAGGCGCACTGTGTCTCCTCAATTTTTTAAAATTTATGTTTTAGTATAGGTTGATAAATAGTTTTTCACTTTCACCCTTTTAAATTTGAATATATACTTTTATTTTGTTTCTCTATTTTTAAGTAGTTCCTATAATTTGCACTACTCAAATATTTATTTTATGACAAAATCACTTTTATGATGTTGTAGAGTCTACCATTAAATGTTTATTTTTTATTCTTTTTTATAATGCTTACTAATTTATTTTTATTGGTATTTTTTTTCCCTTTTGAGATGAATATATGTACAAATATATAATGATTAATTGTTGTTTAATGAAATCTTTTAATAAAATGCTTCTTTTTTTTTTTTTGGGAGACAATCATCACAATTTAAGTCGATATCGTGATTAAAAATGGGGGTTAAGTTTGTTAGGATTGAAGTAAAGCAAGGTGAGAACAATATTGTGGGTGCCTCTATTTACATGTCATATTTGATCTCAAGGCACACCATTAATTAGTTATTTTTTATTATAACAATGACCTTATCTAAAATGACCAAAATGACTACAATTGAATACACACCTTAATTGAATACACATCCAAACCCTAACCCTAACTCTAACCCTAACCCTCATCAATCTTAACTCCAAATCCTTGTCATTGTCGTCGTTTCCATCACCAGCGCCGATGTCGAACTCTGAACCCTAACCTTAACCAGTGTTGACTACCCTTTTCTTTCGCTGCCACCCTCTCCCCAACTACTTTCCCCTTCCCTCCGCTGCTTTATCCTTCACAGCCTCATTTCCTTTGCGTCGCAGCCCTTTCGTCATCGGCTCATCCTTTCGCCGTCGCCCTCCCCTTTTGTTGCAGAACCCTCTCCAGCTCCCCTCTTCTCGTCTTAAAACCCTAGTATCCACTGTCGCCGCTGCCGCCACTACCACCTTTTAGTCGCGATCTTTCTCTCTCTCTCACTCTCTCGTGATCTGTCTTTGTCTCTCTCTACGGTGGATGAAGGCTTGGGATGAAGGCAGAGATGGATCATGATGGCAAATCTGGTTCGACGGGGTTGATTGCGAAGGTGACGGTAAAGGCGAGGCTGTTAGCATTGGCGAAAGGAGAGTAAGGTTGTTCGCTATAGTGGAAGTCATTGGTGGTTGGAGAAGAAAGTTGCAGCAGTGATAGTCGGAGGTTGGTGGTGGTGAGGGAGAATGGCGGTAAAATGGTTCGCATTAATGGTGGTTGCCTGTTTTTTTTTTTTTTGAACGGCAAAACAAAGAAGCTTCACTGATGTAAAATATAGTACAAAGTACAAGACAAAATACATCAACAAAGAAAGGGAAGTGCAGAAGCATCACAATGGACTGAATCATCCCAACTAGGTTAGCACAAAAAAGCCCATCCTATCATTTGCTAGCACCCCCAGAGTTGATGAGCCACCAACCAAAGAAAAAGAAAAAACAAAAGGACCTCAGACCAGATCTGAGACCAGCACACCAGATATAGCAGAGAGCATAGTGACAGAAACAAGCCCAGAACAAATACAACAGATAGTATAGTGCAGAATCACCCCCCCAAACATTAGTGCAGCAGTCCAAACTCCAAAATCCATCACCGTTAGACACACTACCACCAGACCTGAGACCAATGCCATATAGAGCTTCAAAGTTAGCACTCCAACACCAAACCATTGAGCAGCCAACACCACCAGACCAGGGCAGATATAACAGATAGCATAGTGTAGCTTCACCCCCTCAAACATTAGTGCAGTAGAGCAACCTCCACAAGACCATTCCACATTAGAACAACAAGGTATAGGCAGCATTTGGCAATCGAAGCAGCAGATAACAGTTCACTCCCACAACTAGTATAACAACAGCACACATCGTGAAGAAAGCCCATGAACATCTGCTCAGCCTCATCTCAGAAAATTGCAGTTGCACTCTCAACAATAGAACAACCTCCACAAGACCATTCCACATTAGAACAACAAGGTATAGACAGCATTTGGCATTCGAAGCAGAGCAGTAATAGTTCACTCCCACAACTAGTATAGCAACCGCACACATCATTGCATTTGCACTCCCAGAACTATACCCATTGCAATTGCACTCCCAACAATAGAACAAGCAAAGAAAAGAAAGAAAAACAAACACCAAACTGGACTAAATTGTAGTCTGCACAAACCAATCCTCACCACTGAGATGTTATAAGCATAGATTGATAGGTAAGACTATAACAAACCTCGCCTCACCCTGAGATGTTATAAAGGAAATCTGAAATTGAAAAATGGAGCTCCTTAGAAGCAGCCTTAAGCTAGAAAACTAGCCGAATGAGAATCAATTCTTGCAGGTCTTGTAAATTTGGGAGCGACGTGTTGAAGCAGTAATCATTCTTGTGCTTCCAAATTGACCAGAGTGTGACCAGGGGTATGGCACGCCAAATGCGCTGTTCAGCTTTCCTACAGAAGTACCCTGACCACCATTGTAGCAGACCATGAATAGAATCAGAAGCAGCCCAGGAGACACTCCAACGTTGTAGCAGACCAGACTAGACTCTCCAAATAGATGGGCAGAGGATAAGAACATGCTCAATGGATTCCTGTTGAGATTTACAAAATACGCAGAGTGTAGAGGCAGAACTATCCAAGGCTCCAATTCACTGCAGGAATACAGAAGTTTTGATCTTGTGCTTCCATGTGAGCCAACCGAAGAATTGCACCTTAGGAGGAAGGTACTTAATCCACACCAGATGACTGAATCTTTCAGTGCCTCCAGAGTCACTGCTGGTTTGGTTGTAAAGGTTGGACACAAAAGATTGCCCGGGCTTGGCTGCACTCCAAATTGCCCTGTCCTGGGACTCCAGCTGAAAGGAAAGGGCTGGACTTGTAAAGCCATATAGCTTGAGCAGTTCATTCTTTTCCCAAACAAATAGAGGTCTCCTAAATGTGAATAACCAGTTCTTAGATGTGCCAGAGACTTCCACAAATTCCTTTAGCAGACTTTTCTGTTGTGAAAACAAACTGAAGAGCCTAGGGAATTCCTCTTTGAGGCAAACATTACCGCACCAGGAGTCAGACCAAAACCTTATACGACAACCATTGCCTACCTTTAGTTGGAGGTTGTTGGCAAAGAAGAGTGATAAAGACTGATTATGCTCACCTGCTGTCTCTATGCCATTCCAAATATAGGAGGATGAGGTGTTTAAACTTGGGTTTGGAAACCATTTCCCATCAAGGAACTGATACTTGCTGCATAATACCCTATACCAGAGGGACTCTGGTTCAGTAGCAAATCTCCACCACCATTTGAGGAGTAGACACAAATTCACATCTCTGATTCTTCTAACACCCAATCCACCTTGCTTTATGCTCTTAGTAACCTCTGACCATTTCACTAAATGGATTTTACGCTTCAGATCTGGCCCACCCCATAAGAATGAGGCTTGAATTTTGTCTAGCTCCTTGGCAATCCCCTCAGGAAGCTTGAATAATGATAAATAGTATACAGGTATACTTGATAAAACTGCTTTCACCAAGGTTAATCTTCCTGCAAAAGATAGTAGCTTCCTTTTCCACCCGGCTAGCCTTAGTTTCACCTTATCAACTACAGGTTTCCAAGTATTCTTTCTTTTGGGGTTTGCACCCAAGGGCAGACCTAAATACTTGATTGGCAAATTTTGGGTCTTGCAGTTCAAGAGGCCAGCAAATTCAGGAAGGGCAGAACCGGAGATGCCAATCCCACAAAGCACACTTTTGTGGTAGTTGATTTTAAGCCCAGAAGCCACTTCAAAGCATCTAAGAATTCTTTTCAGGTTTAGCACCTCAGACAGATCAGCATCACAGAATAGGAGGGAATCATCTGCAAATTGAAGATGGGTCAGATGCACCTCATCATTTGCCCCAATGGATACACCTTTAATCAATCTTAGGTCCGTAGCTCTCTGAAGAAGGATATTTAAAGCCTCAACAACCAAATTGAATAGGAATGGAGATAAGGGGTCCCCTTGCCTAAGCCCTTTTTGGGGATTGAATTCTTTTGTTGGAGATCCATTGACAAGGATAGAGATTCGAGCAGTAGAAACACACTCCTGTATCCAAGAGATTCACTTGGCACCAAAGCCAAAATTTGCTAACATTGAAAAGAGGAAATTCCAGTTGATGGAGTCAAAAGCCTTCTCAAAATCTATTTTAAAGAGCAACCCGGTTGTCTTGGATTTGACCTAGCTGTCTACAACTTCATTTGCAATCAGGACCCTATCCAAGATGTTTCTACCTCCCACAAAGGCAGATTGAGAGTCACCAATTAACGAAGGCATAACTAACTTCAGTCTATTTGTTAGGACTTTAGATAAAATTTTGTAGGCAGACCCAATTAGGCTAATAGGTCTAAAGTCAGAGAGTGATAGAGCTTTCTCCTTTTTAGGGACAAGGGTGATGAATGAGCTATTCAAACATGGGATTAATCTGCCACTGGCATGAAACTCTTGCATAAAGTTGAGGACCTCACCTTTAAGCACCTTCCAGAATTTTTGAAATAACAACATATTAAAGCCATCCGGTCCTGGAGCTTTGTTCCCATTACAATCATTTACGGCTGCCCAAATTTCTTCTTCAGTGAAGTCTGCTTCAAGAGTAAGAAAGTGGGTACTATGATTGACACTTTTGAATTCACCTTTCAGAGTAGGCCTCATTTTCCAGTCATCTTTGAACAGATTTGCAAAATGGAGCCAAACCCCACTCTTGATAGAGTCTGGGTCCTCAAGATTCACACCCCCAACTATGATGGAGTTAATAGTATTCTTGGTTTATCTGTTAGTGGCCATGACATGGAAATACCTGGTGTTTCTATCCCCTTTCAAATTCCAGTCCAATCTAGATTTTTGGAGCCACTCCCATTCCATCTTCCTGCTTAATGACCACATTTCACTTCTTTTCTCTCTTTGTAGCAACAATTCATCTTCATCCAGAGGGCTAGTTTCGGCTTTAAGGTCAAGGTCATGCAGAGTAGATTCAGATTCTTGTAACTTTTTTGCAACATTGCCATAAGTCTCTTGATTCCATTTTTTTAGGGCCAACTTCAGGGATTGCAATTTCCTTTTCAAGATGGATCCAGCAGAGTCATATAGTTGAAGATCACCCCAATTACTCTCAACCATGGAATCCAGTGTTGGATGTAAGGTCCAAGCATTCAAAAATCTGAAGGGTTTGGGCCCCCAATCCCTACCATCCTCCATGAGAAGAAGTGGGCAGTGATCAGAAATAGTTTTAGGAAGGCCCCATAGTTTAAGTTTATATCTCGCCAACCATTCAGGACTAAGAAGAAATATATCTATTCTACTCCACTTATTCCCTTCAAGAGTATTACACCAAGTAAATTTTCTGCCTAGCATTTGAACATCTATCACCTCACAATTGTCAATGAAATTATTGAACTCCTGCATGCCTCTATCCCTACGAGAAACTCCTATTCTTTCCCCCACATTCCGAATTTCATTAAAGTCTCCACCAAAGCACCATGGGTTTGCAAAGGTTGTTTTCAAATTTAAAAGGATCTCCCATAGAGCCTTCCTCCTTGATACATCGTTTGGGGCATAAATATTAATCAAAACACAATCAAAAGAATTGTGGGCTTTACCTGATAAGAGAATAAAGTTCCTGCTGCTACAGCAATCTGAGAGATGAAAAACATCAGGATCCCAGATGCAGATTAATCCCCCTGACAGCCCGACAGCATCTACAGTCATGAATTCCATCTTGTCTCTAGGCCAAAGGCTTTTTACCCTTAAGTGTGCAACACATGATTGCTTTGTCTCTTGAAGCAAAGCCATATCTACTGCCTTATCATGCAAAAGCTTTCTGATTTTCCTCCTCTTTTCAGGCCTTCCTAGACCTCTCACATTCCAGCTTAAAATCTTCATGCAAACAGTTATACTCCAGATTGCACCCAACAGGAAGCTTGTTATTCCACACCAGCAGTACCTACGGCCATCCTCACTTTATCTTGCTCCTCCATATGTATGAATTTCTGGACAACCTCAGACTCCTGGCCCTTGTAGTCAATTCCCAAGATTTCCCCTACCTGAAGTGTTTCAATAGCCTGTTGAAGAATTTTCTTTGAAGAGGAAATGTGAAATGATTCTGATGTGTGTCTGGGTGAGGAGTGAGTAGCTGAAGAGCTAGCACTAATTCTTCTTTTGTATCCGGTGCTTGAACCAGCCCCTTTGTGCCCTACCATTCTTGCAAATCCAGAGAGTCTTCCTGCAAATACAGTTGGCTGAATCCCTTCTCTTCTAGCACCTTTTCTTTTGACTTTCTTTAAACGGCTGCTAATGGATCCTGAACAGGATGGCCTGGTAGTGCCCTTGGCCTTAGGTTATGGACACCCTCCATATGCTTTACCCAGCTGCTTACTAACTAAGGAGGTAGGTCCAATATTAAGAGGGCCGGTGGGCAGTAGATTTAGTTGGGGATCTGGGTTATTGGGCTGCAGCCCACTTGGAGCAAGGCCTAAAGCAACCTCAATACAAATGCTAGGCCTAATTTTTGCAGTCTCACTAAGGCTTGAAATAAAGCCAGGGGCAGAGGTATGACCCTCAGCAGCATGGCCAACTAAGGGACAACACGGAAGATCTTGATTGCACTCAACCCTCTTCTGCAGAGTATCCAAAGCTAGCTGTTCTACTACACCTTTTTGAGCAGAATGATTACCACTATGGTGTAGACTTTTCACTGTCAGAATTGAATCAGGCACAAGTGCCTCCTTCGGTTGAGTTCCCAATACAAGCTACCGTCTCTGCTACAACGGAAGTGTTGCTCCAGCTGCCTCCTTCATCCAGCTCATCCGAAGCCTTTAATCCAGATGTCATACCCTTAGTGGTTCTAGCAGACGCTCTTGCCATGTCATCTGCTGAGTCACCATCTTCCTCATCTGGTTTGTGTTTTTGAGTGAGATGGACTACGCCATGGATTTTGGAGCAGACCGCTTGAACTGGCTCCTTAGATAGGGTTACTTTACAGCTGAGGCTATCATCCACACCACAGAGCTCTTCAAAAACTCGAATAGGGTATACTCGCCCTTTACACTCCAGATTTATACTTGTATTTATCGGTTCCATTTCATCGGTAACTAATTTGAATCTGCCACTTCTAAACGATATTGGAGCACCGATATTATCCTCCAGACAGACCACCTTGCCCCATATGCTACCAATCCTACTGAATGTGTTTGAGCTCCAGAGGTTTGGGGGTACCCCAACACAGTTGATCCAAACTTGCCGTTGTTGCTGAAGGTACAGACCAGGACTCCAAACTGTGATGTACTCGCACCAGTCACGGAACCATTCCTCAACCATAGCCTTTTTGCCCAACAAGACTTCTTTAGAGGGAAATGAAAGAAACACATCTCTCTCACCTCCCTCTCTAACCAGCACATTCTGCTCTTCTCTTCTGATTAGTTCGTTTTTCACCTGTACAGAGGTGAGCTCTAGTTTTAGTCTCATGATCAAACTTTCATACAGCCAACCATTACCAATCTCCTCGACTCTGATCGTAGTCGTCAGGGCAGATCTGGGTAGGTTTCCTTTAGTGACTTCGGCAAAGGATCTCCCATCGGTGCCAGGGTTCGAGATGGGTCTTTTGGCCACTACGAATGAGTTTCTTACCGTAGGTTGCCTGGTTAAGGAATGTTTCCCCCGCTGCCTTGCATCTGTGTATTTATCAAACGCTGCGATTTTGACTGATAAGGATTTGTCATCTACTCACAACCCATGCGCTCTTTGCTCTGCTACGTTAGCTGCAGTAGAGCAATCATACCGGACAAACCCAAATCTGGAGTTTGTTGCTTTCCTTCTCTTATGTGGTATGAATACGTCTTTGACCACTCCAAATTTGCTGAACAGATCAAATAGATTCCTAGGTGCCATGGATTCAGGCAAGTGATCCACAAAAAGCGTAATCAAATTTGTTCTGGTTCTATCCGACCACGAACGCGGATTTGATTGTCTCCCTCTTTGCTTCACCACTGGGATCCATCCACCACGTTTGTGGGGTTCTGCTATAGCCATCCTCTCTAACAAAACCCGCTCCTTGACACACAATCCAGGCTCAGATTGTAAAAATCAAAGCAAAACAAACGTGCTTGAGAATTTGAAAGAAGAAATTATTGTATTAACCACAAAGATTGCATTAGTCTTATCATTGCCAAAAAATAAAGTAGTCTCCCAAGGGAATGCTTTTTTGAAGAGAATTATCTGCAGCAAATCAAGCAATGTGAACAACTCCTGGCTTCCTTTTGGCACATCTTCACACAAGTCATCCAGGATCTGGAAAGATATCATTGCAATGGAAGGTAGGTGCCCTGCTTTGTTTAATTTCTTTGTGTCAAATATCGAGTGTTCTTTGGATGATGGTAGTGTTAGAAAGGTTAGTGCTATATGGGAAGTGATTGCATTTGCAATTTTGTGGACAATTCAGAATGTTAGGAACAAGCTTGTCTTCGAGGATACACAACCCAATTGGAATCTCATTCTACTGCTTATTAAAATGAGAGTGGCATTTTGGGTCAAGGACTAAGCAAATCACCTTCCAAACTTAATGTTGCTTCTTTCAACATTTTATCCTTTAATAATTCTAATTCCTCACTTTTTAGATTTCACCATTTGTTTTTCAATTTTGCACATTCTATAAAAACAATATTTTTTCTACCTATCTTTAAGATGCTTTGTTACAATTATTACTATGTCATTTCTATGTCTATCTTCTCCAGTATGGCAAATTTTAGGGGTGAAAGAAAAACTGCCTACACCAAACAGACTGACAGCACCGACCGGTTTTCGGTCTGTTTTCTACACCGCCAAATAGTCAGTCTGTGTCGAGAATTTTTTTTCCTGAAATTCGGTTCAATGTTTGGTTATGGAGATTTCACACCAAATCGAACCGAATCAAATTTACAAATTATGCTGAATTTACTGAACATTCAAATAATATACAAGCATTAGCTCTTACTATTGTTGAATTTGATATTTGATAAATTAGTCTTGGTGCAACTACGTTGTTGTTTGTTGCCTTATATCTTAATTAGATTGATCTTTTTTTTCAAAAAAAATAAATGAAGGTAGTTATTATTTTTTTTAAACAAATTCCCAAACCGGTAAACCGCACCAAACCAAACCGAAACCAAATTTACCGGTCCAGTCCGGTTTACCTATTCTGGTCGGTCTGTTCGGTGCCGTTAAGTGTAGAAAACCGATTTTACCGGTTCTATCCAAAAAAATGCAAACTAGACCGATTTCACTCCTAGTAAATTTTATACACAAATTTTATTAACTTTTTCTTCTACATCGTTACTACATTGTTACAATTTAGTTTCTTGTAAGCATTTTATACTCTTTTCTTCTAATCATAATATTTACTAATTTCATAGTTTTACCTATTAGTGTTCGTATATTCAGCATTGCTAATCTATACCTACAATCCTAGACTAATTTCTTTACCTGCACTAGTTTAGAAAAACGCTAAGACCCTTGCCTTCTTTTTACTGCACTCAAGCGCTGATGTGGTGCCCCTTGCCCATTTTTTGAAACGCTTTTTTTTTGAAACGCTTAAAGGAAGGAGCAATGAGTTCGTTACAAATAGGAATGCAAATGGATAGAGCCGAGCTTTGAGATGTTGGAGCTCGGCTTGTTGAAAATTTGTTGAGCTTGAGTTTGAGTTGAGCTTAAAAAAATCGAGCTTGAGCTTGAGCTTGAGCTTGAGCTTGAGCTCGACTCATCTATTATTTGTGAAAATCAAGCTCGGCTGAGTCAGCTCAATTACTTAAAAGAGCCAAGGTCAAGCTGGAGCTTTGAAAGAAAATTAAAACTTAAATTAACATGCAAATTAAGAGAAAAAAAGAAGATTATGTGCAAATGTAAGTAATGCTCATATTGTTGTTAGTTTTATCAATTAAATATGTAAATTAGCAAAAAATCCAAACATAAATACCGAAATAAATTAAATTAATGAAAATATATTATTAAAAATGAATATTAATTTATATAGCATTTGTGTTCACGAGCCTACATGAGGCAAGCTTTGGTCTAGTTGAGCTCAACTTAATCAATAAATGAACCTAAAAATTTTCCTCAAAACTCATTCATTTAGTAAACGAGCCATAATCAAAAGAGCTTTAAATGACCCAAGCTCGAGCTATTCATGAATTGTTTGATTCGTTTGTAGCCCTATTTATGGGAATACCCTAGCAGTTATTTGCATATTCATATTAAGTTCATGCTAGTGAGGGATATAAAGGGATTTTCAAGCTACACAACCCTCTTTATCCAAACATGGGATAAAAATGAAACACTGAGCAAGACACATGTGGATTAATAAGTAGAGAAAGAACATTGATGAATATTATTTTGCCTTTCATAGATAAGTTGTAAACATAAAACTACACAAATAAATAAATAAAGCCCACATAAGAATACTTCCTAACCCAATATTTTTGTACTAACTTACCTTGTAAACCCTGAGATCGCTAAGTCAACTTCATATCCAGATGGAACAGAAAGTGGTATGCAGGAATTGGCTGGAATCTGAAAGTTAGCCTCAGAAGAAGTTGATGCTTCCATGGCTGTTTTCACTATACAAAACAAAATGTAATGAAGTTCACCATGAAATATATTGTGGCAAGACCCTAACATATATATAACAACTACAAACTCTATTAAGTTTGACTGGACATGCATTAGTAAAGGTATGCAAAATTGGCGCTATATGGTCTCCTAAAATTTGATTCAAAAATAAAGAACCGAATTAGTATTAGTTTAAAAAATTTATAAAAAAAAAAAAAAATTATAAAAAAATTCATAATAGAATAGCAAATTGATCATATATGCTAAGAAATTGATAAGCTTGGCTTGATTGCCATTTGGATTTGTATTGTCCAACATTCATTGTGCATATTAAGCCATTTGTATCAATTCCATCCAACTGGGTTTAAGATGGTTGGATAGCTAAGTAATGCCTGGCAGGTAACATCTTTGTACCTTTCGGGAAGCTTCCCTGATAGAAAGGTATGTTGCTAGAGAAGTTATTTGGTGGTCCTTGACATTGAGGAGCTTCTACATATCATCATTCTGCTCAGTTCACACCATTTTTTTTTATTCAATTATGATTGTGCCGCACAAACAAATTACCATTAAGGACAAAAGATGCACACCTTCCCTCCTAACCCCACCATTGCCAACCACCACCACCCCTACCCCACAACATCGTGACCCCCATCTCCCCACCACTGCAACCCCCTCCCTCCCACCACTGTGTCCCCCCCCCCTCCCCAACCCGTACCACCGCAACCCAATCCGCTGCCTAGGCCCCCACCATTGTGACCACCCCTCCCCCAAAGATCTAGGACGAGGAGGAGGAGGAAAAAGAAGAAAAAGACAAAGAAGGTGGCGGCAATGGAGAGGGAAAAGAAGGGAAGAGGTGGAGGTTGGGGAGTGGGTAACAGTGAAGAGAGAGAGTTACGCCAGTGAGGGTGGCAGAGGGATAGAGATAGGGTTAGGGTTAGGGCTCGAAGGTTAGAGATGAGGATATTATGGGGATTAAGTGGTGTGAACTGGGGGGAAAAAAAAAAAAAGATAGAATTGTTTGTGCGAACTAATAATTGTTGGTGGGAGTGGGGTGCAAACCACTTATGGAGGTTCACAAAATAAAAACAAATACGAGAGAGAGAGAATGTATAATCAGAAAAAATAGATTATTTAACTCATATATTTAGGATACATTGAGGAGAGGAAAAACACTCTAACTCTCTTCTTTTTTCCCACACACTAAACTCTCATAATACAATAGCTATATATAGATAAAACTAACAATGTGAACGCATTAAATGCAACTACGACTGAGGCAACAAATTTCAAATGACAAACTTAATTTTCAGCTACTACTTTTGACAATCTTGATTTGCAGCCTCCATTCTACTCTTAGGCCAGTGGAAATTGTTTTATAGTGAAGCAAGATTACTTCACAACATCCCCCCTTAATCTTGATTCTTCATGCTGCTTCATCCCGAGCATTATCTTCATTCTGTTGAACAGATCATTTTTCAATGGCTTCGTGAAAATATCTACAAGTTGATCTTGAGATTTACAAGGAAATAATTCCACCTCTTTATTTTTCACATGCTCTCGGATAAAATGATAACGGGTGTCAATATGCTTACTTCTTTCATGATAAACTGGGTTCTTTGCTAATGCAATTGCGGAGCGATTATCAACATAGATCTCAATAGGATTTTCTTGTGGAAATCCTAAATGCTTCAACATGTTCCGTAACCATATTGCATGGCATACGCTTGAGTTGGCTGCAACATACTCAGCTTCGCAAGTCGATAATGTCACAATGGCTTGCTTCTTGGACGACCATGTGAAGGCTGTATCTCCCATAAAGAAAGTAAATCCCGTAGTACTTTTCTGTTCATCCAAGTCATGTCCCCAATCGCTATCTGAGTAGCCAACAAGACTGAAATTATCAGTTGGTTTATAGAATAAACCATCATCGACTATACCTTTGATGTAGCGAAGAATCCTCTTTGCTGCATAAAAGCGTGACTGATCCGGTATTTCCATATATTTGCTAATCAATCCTACTCCATAGAGTATGTCTGGCTTGGTGCAAGTAAGATATCAAAGACTTCCAACTAGGCTCTTGAAATAAGTTGGATCCACATTACCTGCCTTCGTACCTTTTCTGAGCTCCACTCCACTGTCTACAGGAGTGTTCACTGGATTGCAATTCTCCATTCCATATCTCTTGAGAATTTCCTTGGCATACCCACTTTGGGAAATAAAAATTCCATTTTTTCTTTGTGCCACTTCAACGCCGAGAAAATGAGCCATCAATCCAATAACTGTCATTTCAAATTCTTGGACCATGCTTCTTTTAAAGTCTTTGAACATAACTAGATTGTTTCCAGTGAAAATCAGATCATCAACATAAAGACAAGCAAACAATATGCTTCCATCAACTCCCTTCTTCAAATATAGTGTGTGCTCATATGGACATTTTTCAAAACCATTGTCATGAAAATACTGATCACTTCTAGTATTCCATGCAGGCGGAGCTTGCTTCAATCCATAAAGTGCTTTCTTCAATTTGTACACTTTGTCTCCATGTCCATTCTAAGCATATCCTAAAGGTTGTTCAATATAGATTTCTTCTTCAAGGAAACTGTTAAAAAATGCAGATTTCACATCAAGTAGATAAATCTGCCACTTGTGCTGGGCAGCCAAAGAAATCATTAGCTTGATAGTCTCCAATCAGGCAACTGGAGCAAACACCTCTCTATAGTCAATTCCAGCTCTCTGCTTGTAACCTTTTGCCACTAATCTTGCCTTGTAGCGTTGCACTTCGCCTTGTGCATTCCTCTTTGTCTTGTATACCCATTTCACTCCAATGGGTTTGTGCCCCTTCGGTAGACTGGTAAGCTTCTATGTGTCATTTTTCTCAATGGCATGAATTTCTTCATCCACTGCTTTCTTCCATTTATCTTCTTGGATGGCTTCTGAGAAGGTAAATGGATCACTATCTGCGAGTAGGCAGAACAAATTCAGATCTGCTTCTTCTGTAGCTTCATATATCTCCTGCAAATTTCTCATTGGTCTTGGTTGTTTGAAAAAGCTATCATCTAATGCTGATGATGATGATGATGCAGCACTTCTGTGAGAAACTGGCGATCTAGGTGCCGGTATTCTATGTGGAGGAGTTTGTGGCTCATCTTGAACTTCTTTTGTGATTTCAACCAAAGCTTTTGATGTTTCATCTTTAAGAATGAATTCTGCATCTTTAACAACTTCATCTTGATTCCAGTTCCAAGCTTCTTCTTCTTCAAATATCACATCTCTACTCATGATCACCTTTCTGGTGATGGGATTATACAACTTGTATCCCATTGTTCTGTCTCCATATCCGACAAGGATACATTTTTGTACCTTATCATCGAGCTTGGTTCTTCTTGCTTCTGGAATCTTGGTGTACGCAACACATCCAAATATTCTGAGATGGTTGACACTTGGCTTATGTGACCTCCAAGCTTCTTCTAGAGGCATAGAATGAAGGCTCTTGGTTGGACATCTGTTCAACAAATACAAAGCACATGATACGGTTTCAGCCCAAAATTGCCCGGGCAGTCCCTTTCCTTTCAACATGCTCCTTGCCATATCTAAGATTGTGCAATTCTTCATTTCAGCAACACCATTCAGCTGTGGCGTATACGATGGTGTTGTTTGATGCTTGATTCCATGCTCTTTGCAATAATTCTCAAAAGCATCTGATGCATATTCTCCACCTTGATCTGATCGCAATGTCTTGATGTAGTAGCCACTTTGCTTTTCTACAAGAACTTTGAATTCTTTGAAGATACTGAACACCTCCGACTTTCTTTTAAGAAAATACACCCATGTCTTCCGACTATAATCATCAATGAAGGTGAGAAAATATCTATTCTGTCCATTTGACATTGGCTTCAATGGACCACACACATCAGTGTGCACTAGCTCCAGCGGCTTCGTTGCTCTCCACTTCACTTCTTTGGCAAAGCTAGTTCTATGATGCTTGCCAAGAATGCAGCTTTCACATGCCTCATTAGTATAAGCAATATGAGGGAGCCCTTTCACCATATTCTTGCTTGACAACAGCTTCAAGCTTCCAAAGTTGAGATGTCCAAACCTCAAATGCCATAGCCAGTCTTTGTCTTTGATGATGGCACTTAAACACTTTGCAGTATCATGTTGGATGTTCAATGAAAGCATCTGATTCTTGGACATTCTCACCCGAGCGATCAAATTACCATCATTGTCTTTGATGGTAAAATGACAATCTTTCATGCTGATGTCGTATCATTTTTCTAGGAGTTGTCCCATACTCAAAATGTTGTTCTTCATGGCAAGAACATAATAAACATTGGAGATGTAATCATGATCTCCATTCTTGAGCTTGATCAGAATATTGCCTCTTCCTTTCACTGGAGTCTTTGAAGAATCACCAAATGAGACTTGTGCTTGTACAGTCTCGTCAAGCTCAACGAACAGCTCTCTTTTACCACACATGTGATTATTGGCTCCCGAATCTAGATATCAAACATTGTTTTGGTTTTCAATGTCTACATGGTTGACAAACAGGACTGTAGGTCCAACTTTGTTTGTTTCCTACTCGACAAAATTTGCTTACTTTCCGGTTTCTGTTGTTGCTCGACTTTAGCATTCATTGCTATAATGCCCAAACTTGTGACACTGGTAGCACTGAACATTGTTTTTGTCAAATCTTGGTCGGTTGTTGTAACCACCTCCTCTACCTCTTGCTCTTTCTCTTGGAGCAAAGTGTGGTTGACTTCTTCCTCCTTTGGCTAGACCTCTTCCTCGAAAACCAGAACTTCGATTATTGTAACCACGACCTCTTTCTCGGCTTCTTTGTGATGTTCCCCCTTGCTCGTTTCTGTCATCTCTGAAAAACAGCTCTGATTGAAGAGCTTGCTCTAGAGTACTTGAGGGAGTCTTCTTGTTGATCTTTTGTTCATGAATCTCAAGTGTGCCCATCAACTCATCGGTGCTCATGGCACTGAGATCCTTGGACTCTTCTATTGCTACAACCACATGCTCGAACTTGGGACTGAGTGATCGAAAAATCTTCTCTATCACTTGAAGAGATTCCATCTTCTCTCCATATCTTCTCATCTGATTAACAATGGTCAATGTTCTGTTAAAGTACTCAGAAATGAACTCATTCTCATTCATGTGCAGCATCTCAAATTCGCCACGTAACACTTGGAGTCAAACTCTGATCGTCTTCTCAATTCCACGGTGTGAATTGCGAAGAATACTCCATGCCTCTTTAGAGGTTGTTGTTGCTGAAATCTTCTCAAAACTTGACTCATCAATGCCTTGATAGAGTAGATACAAGGCCTTTTTATCTCTCTTCCTTGAATCTTTTAACACCGTCTTCTAAGCGTCATTTAAATTTCCTTCATCTTCGAGAGTAGCTGGCTCGTCATATCATCGATCCACTAACTCCCACAAATCTTGTGAGGCTAGTAGAACTTGCATTTGAATACTCCAATTTTCATAGTTCTCCTTGCTGAGTTTTGGAAACTGGGGCTGAAAGCAGTTGTTTGTATTGGCCATTGGTTGTCTTTAAAAATTTGCAAATTTTCTGAATGGAATTTGCAAATTCTGACCGTACAGATGTGTCCGGAATACTCCACATAGTTGGAAAGCACTATTGGATCATCAGAAACAGACTCCGAATCGCTCAGATCAAGCCAAAACAAGTTGAATGGTTCAGATCTGCGGCTGTAACTTAGCTGCGTCACACCTGATTAATCCTCCATATGCTGATGTCAGCGGCTCAGTCAACGCGGCTTGGTTAGCGGCGTGACTCAGACTCAGCTCAGTCGCGGCACAAGTCAACGGCAGCTCGGCTCGGTCAGCAACTCGGTCAACGGCTCAGATGACATCAGTGGATGACATCAGTCTCTGGTGCGCACGCGTGTGCCGTGTGCTTGCGCGTTGGATGACGCGTCTTCTTCCTCTGGCAGCGCGTGGCACGTAGGCAAGTGGGAGCGCGTAAGAACGGCGTCGGGAGGCACGTGGGGCGTGTTCGAGGCCATCCGATTTGCGTTTTCGACGTTGTTTTCACGGTTGTGCCCGTCTCGTCGGGAGCTTCAATTTGATATGATCAAAAGTGGATTTCGACCACTTTGATTTCTAGGCAATTTTTGAAAAACACTATTCTTGAAAAATTTTGCAGAATGTCTGCAAATTCAAGTTACCTTCGACTCTGATACCACTGTTGGTGGGAGTGGGGTGCAAACCACTTATGGTGGTTCACAAAATAAAAACAAATACGAGAGAGAGAGAATGTATAATCAGAAAAAATAGATTATTTAACTCAAATATTTAGGATACACTAAGGAGAGGAAAAACTCTCTAACTCTCTTCTTTTTTCTCACACACTGAACTCTCATAATACAATAGCTATATATAGATAAAACTAACAATGTGAACGCATTAAATGCAACTACGGCTAAGGCAACAAACTTCAAACGACAAACTTGATTTGCAGCTGCTAGTTTTGACAATCTTGATTTGCAGCCTCCATTCTACTCTTAGGCCGGTTCTTAGGCCGGTGGAAATTGTTTTATAGTGAAGCAAGATTACTTCACAATAATGATGTCAACTGACAAAAAAGTAGGGTGTGGGAATAGAAGCTCCTTCAACATTGTGCCAAGTTGCCAACACCCCAAGAGTCGCAATCACTTGAAACTTTAAATGATTATGTGACTCTTGAGTAGGGGTGTGTGCAGGTCGACTTAGGTTGATTTTTGGGGAAAAATCATCAACTGAATTATCCTTGGCAAATGGAGAATTTTTTAATATGCTTACCAACACAACCACCCTCAAAGCAGGTCACTTGAATACTTCGGCAATTTCAAATCAATGGTTTGAACAAGTTGGATGGGTTATAAATACAAAATGAAATATAACATTAGTGAGCATATAACCTTAATTTATTTATTTTTTTAAATTTCAACCAAAAAATTTAGTATTTGTTCCAAATCCCAACACAAAACCAACAAATAAATCAATGCATGATGTTATTCGAAATTATACTTTACAAATTAATATAAAAAAGAGGCAATTAAGGTATAAATATGCAATAAAAACGAGGGGGGAGTATTATTTGATGAATGGTATATAAGGTTAGGGAGAGATTGCTAGTGAGCAAGTGCAAGGTAATTTTTTCATATACATATAGGCAGGTTGGGTTGGTTTGCAGACAAGTTGACAAAAGACTGTACCTCAAATGCCATATCATAGATTGATCCATGTCTTCAGCCTTCAAGGCATAGCTTGCCTTTACTGGCATTGTGAGAGTAACCACTTTATTCGTGGCCATATTTATTTGAGCAATTTTCTTATTATTCTTCTTAGCAAGTATAGTGCATTCATCTTCAAATTTCACAAAATATCCTTTTTTGTATCAATTGGCCCACACTTAATAGATTTTGAGTTAAACTATTAGCATAAAGAACGTCATGAACAGCAATGGTGCCCTTTCCGTCAACGTTCTGAAACTTCCCATCTCCAAGCTTTACTTTGGATTTTACTCCATCCAATCTAACAAAGCTGCTCTTGTTTCCTGTCATATGGTTGCTGCATCTGCTGTCAATATACCACGTGTCTTGTGCTTCTTGTTGAGTGTTCATGTAACGATAGAACCATTGGTTTGAAGATTCACCCGTTTCTGAAAAGTTAGCTTCATCCTTTTCACAAAACTGACAATCTTTTTCAAAATGGTTAGGATTCTTGCATCTTGTGCATTTTTGGAAATGGCAGTCCATGCTTCCATGATTAGTATTCTTGCAAAATTTACAGCGAGATTCAGATTGTGATATACCTCTTGCAGGCCATTGAGTATGCCTTTTTCCTCCCCTTCCTCTTTTGTGGCCACTATTAGATTGGCCTCTCTGAAATTGATTGCCTTGATTTTGTTTCTTGTTTCCTCCATCCTTATTCTCTGACATATTCATCTTTGTTTGAAAAGATTGCTCCAATAACTGATTCTCCGATCCTTGAAACTCATTCTTCAAAATCTCCCATGCTTCTTTAGATTTTGTTGCAGCCATTATCCTTGGAGCAATTGTTTTCGTGATTGCTTGTTGAATGTAGTACAAGGCTTTGGCATCTTTCATCTCATTTTCTTTCAACTTCTCCTTCCTTGCCTCTGACCATGCTGAATATTCTTCTTGGCTTTGAGGGCTTTCGTAGCTATTTTCAACCAAATCCCACAGATCTTCTGAGATGAAAAGGGTTCTCATTTGAGTGCTCCAAAAATCGTAATTTTCTCCTTCAAAAATCGGTAGTCCGGCTGGTGAATATTTGAAGGTTGTAATGCTGGAACTTGCTGCCATTCTTTGAACCTAAACCTTAGCTGTTTTGTTTTGTAAGATCTTCAATGCTCTGATACCACTGTTACGTTGCTACACAGTGTGATGGTGCAGCAAGAATTCAGGACAGTTAGGGAAGAGAAGTTTTGTGCATAAATTTGTTACAAAAAATTGTGGGTATGAATGAGTTTTTATTTGTGACAAAGAAGATGAAAAATATAATACTTTTTGCACTCATCCTCTTTTTTCTTTTATTGACGTAATAGCGTTCTGCTTCATTAATAAAGTTCTTTTCCATTGCTGATATTGCTGATAAAAAAAAAAAGATGAAAAATATGTACTCACTTCAAGTTATTTTCCTCTGTTGGGCTTGCATAGCTGAATAAATTAGATGCCTATCATCATAGACTGCACCTAATTCTCCAAAAATTTCAATTTACATCAATGTTATCAAAATTACAATCCAAATCATAGGATCATACAATCCTAAATTGTCAAAACAATCCAAATTGGTGTTATAGTAGGATCGCAAGTAGGATAGTGTGGGATAGTGTAGAATTGTGATTTTTCACCTTATTTTTAGTATGTATCATCCCTATTTGCATTTTTACCTTATTTTTAATAAGAAGTACGACTTAAGATCTTCTATCCGACCCTACAATCCGATTCACAAGATTCTCTCACCGATCCTAAGATCGATCTCGATTTTAACAACCATCTAACACAAGATTGTTGAAATCGGGATCCTATGTGGGATCTTTGGGAAGGAGTCCTGGATCGGATCGTAGAATTAGATCGAGAATCGTAAGATTCTAATTTCAATGCAAAATGAAATAAAAATTTATCTATAATGATAATGTATGTAAAATAATTTCAAAATCATTAAAGAAAAATGATAATTTGATATAAGGCATCTTCTATGCTAAAATTTATTAGAGGAGATGCTTTATGGTCAAATTTTTTATATAGATATACATATATAAGAAATAAATAACAAGAAAATAAAATAAAATACTGGTGGGTATGGGATTGTAGTAGAATCAGGATCGTGGTATGATTCTAAAATTTAAGATCCTAATGTGATCGGAATTGTTTGGCCCAACTGGGGTTATACAATTGTAAGATCTTATGATATGCATCATGATTATGATAACCATGCTCTAACATGCCATTCAAGATAAATTAATTTCAAGTGCTCCATTTTTCATAGACTTTCAAAATAAAACATCCTAGGCATGGCATCTAACAAGTAGTAGCATCAAACATCCCATTTTCATGATTTTTGAAATTACCTAATATTGAAAATAAAGCACATACAAGGAACATCATAAAATTCCTCATCCAAGAATTCTCTTACACAATAACAAAATGCTATTAAAATTAAGAACACCCTAAACATGTTTACAAATATATTAGAAAATCCTACAGTTCACTACTTTTTACCACAAAATTAAAGAGATGAGATGAACGGAATGAGTTTTACCCCCCAAAAAAAATTGACAAGTCTTCCAAGTGAACTAGACTTCAAGAGAGCTCCTTGTTCTTCAAATGGTCACTTTTAGATCCCAGAAGCACCAAGAGGGGCATTGGGATCTGTCTAGAAGTGTAAAGAGAGTGTATACAAGCTTAGGGAGACCAACAATGGAGAAAGGGGAAAGAGGGGTAGCTAGGGTTTTTGAGGGAGGGGGAAAGGCCAAGGATGTTCAGCCATGTGAGGGAGGAGAGCCTAACTCTTTCAAGTTTTTCAACTCAAGAAGACAATGCTAGCTTACCAGGGTGAGAACACTCATTGCCTGGAAAAACAATGGGAAACAAGAGAGACAGCTTTTTGTTTGTAAAACACAAAGAGGCAAAGACTTTAAAAAGTCTAGTCTTCCAGTGTAAGTCACAGCTAGGAGGACAGGAAAAGGGGTGATTCTATGCAGACGCTTACAACTATACGCAACCTTATACACGCTCACCAAAAATTCTTGGGACCCAAAGTAAGAGATTTTCATGATCTCTAAATTGAAGACGTAATTTTTACTTTTTTATTTTTTTTCTTTTCTTCTTGAATCAATTACAAATAAATAAAAATTGCGATTGTGTGGGTTGTGTTTTATTTTGGTATCTAAGTTAGCTAAAATTTTATTTCTTTTGGCTGTTCTCCTAAAATTTCTGTTGTTTCAGCTAATCTTATAATTTCATCTAGATCATTTTTTGTTCTTCTGTACACTGGTTTTTTCTTTAATTTTCTTATTTTTGCAAAAATTAATTCTAGGTTAATTGTTTGCTAAAAATCTTCTAAATTCCAATAGTTTCTTTTTTCTTCAAAATCTTCTAGATTTTCATAATTTTCTATGTCTAAATTTTCTAAAGAAGTATTTGTTATCTCATCAGGTATATATTTTTGGGCTAGTTCGGGAAAAATATTTCTACTAGGAAATAAAAAACTAGCGGGGACTGAATCTACTCCTAGGATACCACCACGCTTCGCACGCAACTCTAATGAATGAGCGATGGTACTAAGGGCATATGCTGTGAGTGTATGTACAGTTAGCTTGAAGAAACTAATCACCTTGTTTGTTTCCACTTTTCAAAAAACACTTTTCAGAAAATTCTACTTTCTTATTTTCCGTATTTTTTTGTTTTTACTAAATTTTTTTAATATTTTACGCAATTTTTTTACTTTTTAGATACATCTAAGTAAAGTGCATATAAAAAAGTAAAAAAAGTGTTTAAAATTTAAAAAATATTCACTAAAAATAAAAAAACATGAAAATCAAAAAAATCAATTTTCAAAAAACTTAATCCAGAAAACTCAAACCAAACACACTGAATGTTGTTTTGGCTAAAAAACATGTCGCCCTGTAAACTGAGTATGAAATTAAGTCCTAAGATGAAAGGATGATTCTGTCGGGTATTTCCAATCCAAACTTGAGGTAAAGGGAACCATTCTATATGCTGATCTTGAAAACCTATATGATGAAAACTAATCTGTGCTCCATTGATGCAATGTGTGTATGTCTGTTTAGTGCCATCGGCTATACTTGTTTCGAGTGTTTCTCGATGTGTTTAGGTTGTTTACCTTTTGTTTTTCGTTGTTGAGTCTTTTTTGCTGTGTTCAGTCGTAGGCTCAATACCTAGTCGAGAACTCATTTCAAATTCAAAAAAATGAAAATGAATGAATCGTTTTATGCTCAGAGTGCCGTGCCATTCTCAACATTTGTGCAAAACAGGATTGTTTCTTTCATAAACTACAGGGTCCACCCCCGATAAGTGTGAACAGTAGAACAAGGACCTATCTGAAGCTATGTAGGTTCCAGACTGCAAAGCAAAAGAAAAAAGGAAAATTTGGAGCATCTTAGGGTGTTCCAGCTTTGGCAAGATCCGAGACTGCATTTCAGGTGCACCTTCCCAGACCTCGCCATTTCTCTGGAGTATGAGTGTATCTCGACCCCAAGTGTAAGCCTGCTTCAAGTCAGAATGGCAATTAAAGCAGCAGCAGATGTTATCTCTCGCCAATATAAACAGGGTGTCCCCTTTTGAGCTGAGCGTATTGCCAAGTCCTCCGAAAGGTAAATCGGAGGCACCAGAGTACATGTTTGATGCCCTTCCATTGCATAGAATGTGCACTTTCATATACACTTCTGTTACATGCGTACCGCGCATCATTATGATTCATGCATAGAATATGCTTGCTTTCGATTCTGCATAGAATATGCTTTCAATATTGCATAGAATATGCTCCTGTTTCTTGCATAGAAAATGCTCGTATCTTTTGCATAAAAAATGCACTTTTCCATACTTGCATAGAAAATGCACCTTATTTGCATAGAACATGCATTCACTCGCACTGTCTTGTGCACTTACACTTTGTATCTCACTAGCACTGTCTTGTGCATCTTGTGGTTGTATCTCACTCGCACTATTTTGTGTATTGCATATCAATCGCGCTGTTTAGCGTATCGCACTGTCTTGTGCATTTCAAATCACTCGCGCTTTCTTGCGCATCGCACTATTTTGTGCAGTTAATCACTCACGCTGTTTAGCGTATCGCACTTTCTTGTGCATTTCAAATCACTCGCGCTGTTTAGCGTATCACACTGTCTTGTGCATTTCAAATCACTCGCGCTTTCTTGCGCATCGCACTATTTTGTGCAGTTTATCACTCGCGCTGTTTGGCGTATCGCACTGTCTTGTGCATTTCAAATCACTCGCGCTTTCTTGCGCATCGCACTTTTTTGTGCAGTTTAATCACTCGCGCTGTTTAGCGTATCGCATTGTCTTGTGCATTTCAAATCACTCGCGCTTTCTTGCGCATCGCACTATTTTGTGCAGTTAATCACTCGCGCTTTCTTGCATATCGCACTATTTTGTGCAGTTTATCACTCGCGTTCTCTTGCGCATCGCACTATTTTGTGCAGTTTACACTCGCTCTCTCTTGTGCATTTCATTACATGCTCTCTCTTATCTTGCATAGAAAATGCTTATAGCATTTGTCAGTGCATTGCGTCGCACTGTTTTGTGCACCTTACTTGCATTTTGCATGCATTCTATCGCGCTATCTTGCGCACCTCACTTGTACTTGTTAGTACATTGTATTATTTTGAATACAAACCGGCTTCGCATAGCGTATAAGTCCAATTATCAAAGTCTTCTTTCATATCATTTGCATCCTGCCCCTGAACTACGCTGGTTTGATTCCTTGCAAAGGAATACGTAGGCAGCCTGCGGGCACAACCACTTATTTATCGGTATTTTGTTTGTTTGTCCAAGTCTTCGGCCTTGTCAAAAATGGGTCATCTCTGGGCTTTGACATTCACTCATGTCATTTCATGACTTCCAAGTTTTGTCAAAGAGGGGCAACTGTAGACACCCCATTTTTGACCGCTCTTAAGACTTGGACGTTACTGATGGTTTACTTGGTGGTAAAAGGTGTACAGGGCAAAGGTTCAAATTTGTCAGCAATGAGAGAGTCAAATCCCAACTTCATGCCCCTTTTGGACCAAAACAATCTTGATCAAAAGATTTTAGATCTTAAAATCCTCTCTTTCAAAATGTTTTGAAAATAAAATTCCTACGATGTTCCGACGCTCACATTTCGGTAAATGTTACGTTTTTCGGTAAACCGAGCAAGGACAAGTTGGAGATGAATGAAAGAGAGATGAAATCTTTGAAAAATCTTTCAAAACACTTTGTTTAGAGGTTTGGATTTGAAGAAAAGAGGAAAGGAGAGGAGAACACTAGTTTCGGAGAAGTTCGGCATGAATCCGGGTAAGAGAGAGTTGAGCAGCCCTCGCTGAATCGGGCCTACTCATTTACATACTTGGATTTTAGCTATGAGGCCACCACCGTTGGAAATATTAATTCTGGGGCTTCATTTTGCACTCAAGAATCTCCTAGAGCCAAGTCCGGGTGGGGGAGATATGATTGGTTGAAGTTGGGTATCATCCCGGTTGGATCGAATCTGCGCGGCTTCACCAAAATGGGAATAATTTTTTCCACAGGAGGAATTTTAATGCAAGGTTTGTGCCATTGGAAAGCTAACTTCCGGGGCTTCAATCTGGACACCTACCGGCCACTTTTTGACCTTGGTAGCCACCTATCGGCCATTCATTTAGCCGACCAGCCAGAACAAATAGCAGGCCGGCCATTTTTTGTGCCGACCGGCCATTTATTTGGCCGATGACCTCCTTTCATGGCCGATATGACCCTTTTGCACCCCTCAAGCATGGTGCATGCCAGCTGTGCCAGCTGGAGTGCATAGACCCATCCCTCCATGCACGGGTGTGGCTATTTTGCACCTTTGACCACCTTTGACCACTCTTTTTGCACCCTTTGCTCAAGGCTTCTTGAGGAAGCTTTGACCCCTTGTCTTGGCTTCCTCAAGAATCTTGCACCCTTGCCCTAGCTTCCTTGATAAGCCTTGACCCCCCTTGCCCCCCTTTGTCCATTTCTCTTAAGCTTGTCTTATAAGCTTCAAGCCACTTGGCTTGTCTATATAAGAACCTCTCCTCCTCCATTGTCAAGGGTTGAACAAAAAACCAGAGATATACATATATATCTGATAGATACACCCTTCTTCCTCCATAGCTCTCTTCTCCAAAGCTCAAAAGTCCATTACTCTTGGCCCTTTACACACCATCTCACAACCACACACTTCCACCATTGCTTGGAGGTTCTTGGAGATCATTTTCAGAGGCTAAGGGACTGATTTTTGGGACCAAAAGCTGCTGCATTGCTGTGCTACAAGGGTAAGTCCTCTTCTCCCTCTTTGAAGCTCTATCTTGCATGATATCTTAGTCTTACTTACAAGCATTTCTGGGCTCCGACCCAAACTGTAAAGTGCCATGTTTTGAGC